AAATAAATAAATAAATAAAGAGTGAATTATGGCCTGTATGAAAAACAATCACACGGTTCTGATAATGTGTTAAAAATCAGGGTTTTCTGATCATAAATTAGGTTCTTGATTTAGGAACTTTAACAATTTCTAAGTCATGCATAAAAGTACAGCAGACTCTAAGAAACTGCCTGCCTCCACCCATCCATGCAGAAAACCAGGTAGCCAGTATTTTAATAAACACATCCCCTTAGAATTACACTGAATCGTGCTGCATAGCAAATCACGTATTTACTTGAGTTCTTATAGTATTATTGCCAAAAGTGTGGATGTCGACAGGAGACTGGAATGAAGAAAGGAGCTGATTCAGGCAAGAATCAATAAAACACACTTATACAGATTCGAAGTTCACATCCAGTAATGAACCAGCTGGCATAAGTCTTCCACCTTAGTTCTGCACAAAGCACTCTCTGCAGCCTCCTTACCAATTATAGCCTTAAGGAGTGAATAAATTTATTTACCCTTGTTTAAACACACACATGATAGCCCTGTGTACATTTCAACCATTCCAGTTGCAGTTCAAAAAGCTGTATATGCACACAGGATAAATCAAAGTTAAAACATATTAAGTGAAATGACATTTCAACGCTTGCACTTTCTACCTTTAAAAACCAATAACGAGCCAAAGATATCCTTGACTATGATTTATAATTATTGAGTTCTGAATCTTTCTTGCGTTGATATTTCAGAGATTAACTTAGAAAAGCCTACCAGAGATAATGATTCAACCTCTTAGCAATTTAAATCTGCTGCGAAAGCTTAACGAAGAAGTCTAAACTAAGTCCTTTGAATCTTGACATTTTTTTCTTTCTCTAAAAATCTTATTTTCATGGAAAATATATTTAAACTTCAAGAAGACTTTTGATGGACAATTTGTGATATTTAAATGCATTTTAAAATTCATGCTCAAAGTTTCATTACCAAAAACTAGCATCCATCAACTTGGCAGAACACAAAATGTAAGAAAACCTAATTAAGCCCTGATTTTTTAAAAAATATTTTTTGTTGTAGATAGACACAATACCTTTATTTTATTTAGTGTTTTTTTTTTTAATGTGGTACTGAGGATCGAACCCAGTGCCTCACACATGCTAGGCAAGCGCTCTATTATTGAGCTACAATCCTAGCCCCTGATTTTTTTTATAAGTGAAGTAAGGAGATTTTAAAAGACCTCAAGGTGAGTGAAGAAGAAAGAGGAGTTTGAAATGTAAGAAAAGGTCTTCAAGTATTTCTTTTCATCTTCAATTTTATTCTCTTCATTGCTTTTCTTTTGTTTTGAAAAAGCTGATGAGAACACATCTAAATGTATCTGGAAAGTGTCACAGGGAATTTAAGTCAGTTCTTAAGAGAACTGTTTATCATGGGATAAATGAAATGCTTTTTTATTTCAAATTCTGTTTGAATGCTTATTCTATCAAAGGATGGACTGACAGAACAAGAAAAACCCCACCTCATGACTTGTGATGGGAACAGACAACCACCACTACATAGTTTTTCAAATAACATTATTAGGTTACAGTGAATAATGACATCAAAACTGCACTGTTCAGTTACAAAATCCTCCATCCAATTCAGGACTTTAAAATTGTTTTCTATGTAGATATGTCCCAGTTAGTAAAATGTTTATCTAGATAAGGAAATTCCACAATGTCTTTTGGAGACATCTCTCTGATTACACTAAGATCAACCAAACCCTACAACTGAAGTCCCTCTCCAGGCTTCTACTTGCACAAACTCTGCTGCTCACGAAGCTGCTTTCAGGATGTAAGGACTAAGTCATAATTAATGTCTTCCAATAGATAAGCAACACAGAATTGAGAGCAGGGATAAAGTTATCCATTTTAAAACAGGGATATGTACATGTTTTACAGTAAGTAACTATGGAACACAAGGCCATATCTTTTAATTATGACTGTCTTTCGGTATGTTATTCCACAACACTGAAGTATGTTTGAATAGAAGTTGGTGTTCTTTGTGTTTTTGTCAGTAAATAACTTCTTGTCATTTGCCTACTGCATGAAAAATATGCTCAGACAGAGTGTCACAGCCTATGCAGTATAAATTCATATCCCCTCATATTTAAGAATTTCTACATAGGTCTGGATATAAATTAAGCACAAATTTTTCCACATGTTTCGAGGGGAAAAAAAATTAAGTGATTAAAAAGCGTTTGTTATTCATAATACTAAAGTCATTTTCTATCTCATTTTATATACCATAATGAATTAAATGACCAGAAAACCAACTGTAGATTTAAATTAAAAGGAAACCGAAAAGAAAGAACCCAAAAAAAGGGAGGCTGCATAGTGACAAGAGTCCATCTCCCCTCGTGCCAGTGAAGTTTTAGCTGTGAGCATGCTCAGACACATGGGAGGCTCTGGAGTTACTATATCAGAACTCCTTCTGAGGTGTAAGGAGGATACGTCTAATAACTCAATCGCTGTAAGCCTATTGTTATTTTTCTGATATTAAACATCTCTCCAGGCTCAGATTGATTGCAATGTTCCTTCTACTTCCTTTCATCGTTCTGATAGATGTCAAAGGTAAGGCTGCTGCTTTCTCACTTTAAGTAAGAGTAATTCCCAAAGAATATTAAAAATTCTATTTAGTTCTATGTATGGTATTCACAATAGACTCATGGCAGTCTTTGAAAAATAGACAACAATTTTGCGTTTCATTATCATTATCCCTAACTGCTGGTAGCCCCATACAGCCTAGCAATTTCGGATGCAACAAATTTTTCATAGAAACTTGCCTTTTATGTGTTATTAAAGCCGTAGATGAAATAACTTTTAAAAACAATGCTTACTATATCAATTATAACAGGGAAACTACTTTTAGTATTTGTTTTTGAAAAGTAGGATAAATTAATAAACTAAAACTTTATTTGTAAAAATTGAACCTGTTGTAATATGTCTGTAAACAAAAAAAATGTAATTGTTAGTAACTGTTTTATTATTAATACAAATTAGGAACTGTAAAGTCATACAAATCTAAAACACAGTATCTCTCCCTAAAAATTAACCTTTAAAAAAGTTATAAAAAAAATCTACAAAAATGACTTAAGATTGTGAAGTGTCTTCACAGAAGTAATTGATTTTGATGTTATTCTGATTCTTTTGTACAATAAAGCCAAATGACAGAAAACAAATCTACAAAAGTGCATCTATTTATATAATTCTTTATTTTTAATTTGAGGCAATTTTAATTTAGTCAAACTGCTCATTTTTAAATCAGTGACATTTTTTGGAAAGCTGACAAAAAAATTAAACTTAAATCTTCACCTGGCTTTAAAGAAAGAAACTTGTTTTGTTGTGAGCTCATATACTTAAAATCTACTCATCACACCCATGGTATACTGGGCTTATCATTAACATAATTAAAAAATGCACTTATTTCAATTCATAATGTTTCTTTAAGACTCAGAGAATAAACATTAGAATTTAAAATTATTTTTGTTTTCTGAGAAATTCTTTTCTGGTTTTTAAAATACTTAATGTAATTAGACTTATTCCAAATAGACATTTAAATCATAAAATAAAGTGACATATTTGTGAACATAAAGGCAAGATGTACAAGCATAAAATGTAATATTTAAGAATATCTAATAAAATATTATAAAATACTTAAATTTTATTTTGAATTTGAAGTGTTACTAAATTATCCTTTCAAATTATTTCAAAATATTATCTCCAAGCACAATTTTTATTCTGTGTTTCAATCTCTCTTACATGAAAACCTAGGGAGAAACAATCTATGAACTCATCTTGCCTGAAATACAATTGTAGAAAGCAGTCTATTTCTTTGATTTAAGATCTTACCTCAGAAGTTCATGTCCTGTCCATATTTGTAATATTCAATTTTATAGCATTTTTAAGAATGAAGAGTTAAAAGTTGGTTCCTGGATTGAAGATCCATCATAGAGATCACCAGTGCCCTTAAAAATGCCCTTACTGTACAAAACTATAACTGCAGTTAAGCAATTTCACTCTACTCTGCTTTTGCTCATGATAATATATCTATCTGATTTTGCTTAAACCCTATAAGGCAAAAAAAAAAAAAACCTATCTCTAAAGTAATGGTTTCTGATTTGCTATAATGTAATGTCATTCTTTAAATAAACAAAAAAAAAGTTCTAAGCAAATCATTTTGCTTTATTTCTAAGTAAATGAAATTTCTAATGCCAAATACCAGGTCCACAGTACCAACTAATAAAGGTTTATTGGTTAATTCTATTTCTTTAGAAATTTTTATTTTCTAATTTTATATCATCTTTGATTACTAATTTAAACCTTTAGAGTAATAATAATTCATTTCCAAAATAATTATTGATCCATGCTGTGATATATTTTCTCTGCTTGTGGAAATAAGTATTTGCTACATAATTAAACTGTTTTCTTTTTCACAATATAATCGTAGATGGCTATAGTGGTAAGGTTCTTGATAATAATCAAAGAAGGGTCATTAAGAATTATATCAGAGTGAAGATTGCTTTAAAATTTAAATAAACATTTGTGCTAGACTCTTAAAGCAGTCTAAACAAAATGAAAAGTTAGAAATATGATGATTGACTTCTATTTTCAGGCTATGATCATCCTGGAGTGAGTATCTAGAAATGAATAAAACTGAGTATCTACTCACAGTAAATGATAACTAGAGATAATATTCTTATATGTGTTTTATCATTAATTTATTCATTGTGCATTCTTAAGCCACCTTATTTAAATGTTTTTGATGAACTAATTAGGGACAATATTACAAACCAAAATCAAGTGCTTGTATAGGAAATTAAAGTATCAAGTATTAAGGATGCTACTGGATAACTACCAATAGCTACTTATTCAAATAATTTACTAACCTTCAAAAAATGCCTTCATGCAAAGCAGAGCCTGATTAGGATCCTGCAGTGGGCAGTGTTCGACTGCCCCCTAGCGGCCAAGTTCAAGGTATGCCTTGGACGGTCCAAGCGATGTCAGTTATCTTGGTCGCTAAGACTTGAGAAAAGGCTTTCCAACTGCATTTCCATTTCACACAATTACATCTATGCTGCGGAGAGTGTAAAAATCAATTCTGCTTCAGGCCAATCATCCTAAAGGGATAAAGCTGTACTGCTAATAAGAAAGAAACTCACCTGCTTAAGGCGAATGGAGCCCTCTGTAAGAGAGAAAGTTTGGAAACCCAGAAACCAAGGCTTCCTACCTGTGAGATCTCAATGCACTAGCTAAATACATATCCCAGTCGATGTTTACTCACTTGCTGGTTGTACTGTGAATGAATATGACCAGGTGTAATAAAAGTTTTAAGGCCTCTCATTGAAGTGGCAAAATTGTCTACCACTCAAAGGTTAGAGACAAAATTGAAGGTGCTGCTTTTCAATAAGTCAGTTTGAAAAGTTACACATTTTATTCCTGGAAAATAGTGTCCTAAACAGAATTCAATTAAGAAGGAATGCTTTTACATAACTATGAAACTATTAAGGCACTTTTTAAAAGGAATTTATACCTATTTAAGAAGCCCAAATGTCCTGGTTTACTTATCTGGTAAATACATGATTTATTCATGAAGAATGAACATGCTTATCTTACATGAGAAATAATGGTGCTTTTAGAGGTACAGTTACCTGTGGGGGGGGGACAAATCTCTCTTGCATGTTTTATTCACGTTACATCCGTTTCTCACCCCTATACTTCCAGGGATGAGAAGGGACCCTTCCGGGATTTAGTATGTATTTTAAAAACTAAAGCTTGCTATGATGGTCAGCACTGTTAAATGCCTCTGAAAAGCACCCTAAAACCAAAATAAAATAATTAACTTAGCGCTTGTGTGATATGCTTTAATATTAGAAAGGAATTGTAACTGAAAAGTTAACTTTATTGTGAAATCAAGGGCCATTAAAAGATGTTCAACATGATTGAGAATATTCTGGCCCTGGGACTGGGGTTATAGCTCAGTGGTAGAGTGGTTGCCTAGCATGTGTACGGCACTGGATTTGATTCTCACACCACATAAAAATAAATACAATACAATGTAAAAAATATGTTAAAAATAAATTCTGGCCCTCTGTTCTTACCTTGCCCTTCCTTTCCCAGTTCTTCTGACTTAGCCCTTTACTTCTGTTCTTCTCCAGACCCTTGTCCCCTTCTCTCCCACTCCCTCCTATCTCTTGCTTTTTTTTCTTACTTTATTTTTTAATTGATGCCCAGAAAATAGACCTACTTATGGGGTGTTTTGATATATGTATACAATGTGTAATGTTCAAATCAGGGTAAACATATCTCACTCCTCAAATATTTATCATTCATAGTGAAAACATTCAAAATCCTTTTTTTTTCTAGTTTATTCCTTTACATGTTTATTAGCATGCATTAATGGTTCATATTAAAGGGGTACAATATGACAGCTCAACACATGCATACAGCAGGCACTGATCCACCCTGGGTAGTTAGCATTTATTTCCCTCTTCTTATCAGTTCTTTGTTTATAGCCTTCAAATTTCTCTTTCCTGCACAGAAAGACAAATGCTTCATATTCTCACAGTGGAAGCAAAAAAAAAAAAAAAAAAATCTATCCAAATGTAAAGTAGTGATTACTAGAGGCTGGGAAAGGTGAAGAGAAGGATGGGCGAAGGAGGGATCATGGGAAGTTGGTTAATAGGGACCAAAACACAGAAGGAATAAATTCTGGTGTTCCTCAGCTCAGAGGGATGACTCGAGGCCACAAAAACCTCTTTGGTATTTTATGAAGCTGTCACTTTTTTCCATATATTCATTTCTTGTGTTTTTCTCCTCTTCTCGCTTTATCTTGGACATGCTCCGGGCCTCTCTTCCCACATCTCATCCACTCTCATCTCTCTTCCTGGTTTCCTCCACACTGAAATCTTTCTCTCTTTTCTTGTCTGTTCCAACCCTCTTGCTCTAATCTCCGACTCTGCCCTTGACCTTGCTACATCCCATCCTCTCTAATTCCCACCCCCTCTAATTCCCACATCTGCTCCACCCTGGCTACTCACATCTGCCTTTGCATGTCCACCTTGGCTACTTCCAGTCCCTCAACCTGCCCCTTTATTCCAGTATGCCTCACTTGTAATCACTTCCTGCTGTGAGCTTCCTCCCCAGTGACTTCCTGTCTCTTCCCCTTACTTTCTTTCTGTTCTTTGTCTCTATCCCATCATCTCCTGACTTCCTTTCTGTTCTTTGTCTCTATCTCGTCATCTCCTGGCCTGATCAGTGGTCAGTCACCAACCAGAGCTAAATGAGTACTGTATCTCAGTACTTAATACTGACTTGCTCTTTTTTAGGTCCTAGTGATTTGTCTACAATTAGGAAATCCAAAAACCTGTGTTAACTGAAAGTTTGATCACCTTTGCCTAAAAATATCTGCTCAGAATAGACCAAAGGCTATTTAGAGTCTATTTATGCATGATAACAAAATTTCATGTTTGTACAAAGCAAGTTGTGAATGTATTTGATGATGGAATTTTGCCCCAGATCTGGTAGGAAATGTTATATAATTTATAGCATATGCATCAAATCAGCTTTCTGAAATTAAAAATAGACATAAATATTACATCAGATTTCTCTAAAAGGTTTCTGCTAAGGTGATACAGATCTGTACCAGCTGTCACCCTATTCTGGTCCACAATATCCTCTACTACATTATCTTCACCAGGGGTAGAATGACTATTTTCTTTGTCCAGAAAAGTTCAGTGTTAATAGAATCTTTTTTGATGAGGAAAAATAAGGCTTATTCTCTTGCTCTCTGATTACAGTTTATTTTTATTTATTCTCTTAGGTTGTTGTTGTGGTTGTTGTTGTTTAATTTTAACAACTACATTTTCAATCTACTAGTTCCAACTGTGTTTAAAGCTGTATGTTCTGGTTTTATAAACTTTGATTTTATCTCATGGTGTTCTTTCTTCCATTCATTCTTTGAGGATATTAAGCATACGTACTTTAAACTACTTTTTAAAGCTCTGTTCCAAGTATGAATTCTCCCTTTTGGGCATCCTGGACATGTGCATGAAGTTGGAGAGATTTTTCTCCTGCCCTTGTCTGTCGATGAGTGTTCTCATTAGAGCCTCCACAGTACTCAGATCTGAAGCATACCTTATGTTAGTATCTCAGACATTTTACTTGTGGAGGACCTCCTTCCAATCCTATGTCCCTTTTCCAGAGGACCACACTGCTTTTCTGCTGACCCTAGGCAAGAGGCTTTATTTAAACCACAACCTTGGGGGCTCAGGCAGAACTGTTCCCTCCCGTTCCTCTTTCAGAGGCTCAGTCACTGCACGTGGCAGTCACAGCCCTGCAGATCATGGTTTTAGGTCCCCATAAAACAGTAGCTTTTTCTCTATTCGTATTTGATGGAGATTTTTCTCTCCTATGACCCAAAGGCTTGAATGAAAAAGCTAATAGCAATATTTTCTGTGTCTTTGGAAAAGAGTATGACATGGAAGCAGAGTCAAGATTTGTTCCACAGTGGATCCAGAAGTCAAAAGAGAAGGTGGTTTTGATTCCTCAGGTTGCACTTTATCAGGGACAGGATGGGAGAGGACACACAGGGAGATCTGGAGTTATGAAGTGAAAGGCTGTATGTGTTAAGTGGTAAGGACAGCAGAGTGACTGGATTGCTTCATTGGGATCAGTAGACCCATGTCAAGTCATGACCTGAACTAGCATTTGGCCTTCAGCATACCCAATAATCTCTCAGCTTCGTCCACAATATTAAATAATCATATCAATAATTGTGATGTTAAAGATAGATTGTAGGACTCTAATCCCTGAATGTACAATAGATCAGGGAAGGGACCTGGGATTTTACATATTTAAGAAGCCCTCCACATGGTTCTGACAACCTGATCCCATGGATCACACTTCTGGAAATACCGGCATGGTGGTTTGCACATCAAAATAGAAGTAGGGTTTTTTCTATTAAGAAATGCTACCTCTTTATGTGACAGCTATTTTACTCTTCATGTGTACTG